ACGTGGACCCAGGGACAGAAATTCAAAGGTGTTCCAGCCATCCTTGTTGACAAGAGCCCCAAATCGGTGTCTCTTCCCTTCCCTTAGGAAGGAGATGATTGGAAGCTACCCCTTCCCAAACAGAGGACATCAGCAAACCCTATGAGAGTGGAATTTTCTAACAAAATAAACTTGCTTGTTTGGTCTGTTTTCTGTAACTTTTTGCTAAATACTTTATACATTTTTAATGTTAAAAGCTGTGTCTCCTGCCAGCATTCCTCACCCCGGTATGAATGTGTTTACCCCACATTGTATATCTTTCCATCCCTTGGCTGCCTAGATCCGTAAATAAAATCAATGTAATATAATTTATAAATAACACTGTCAAAATGCTGATCCGATGGAGGCTGTAACCCACCCCTCCCACTCCCACCTGATCCCACCCCATAATAGCATTTGTGTGTATTAATGCTGAAGAATTAAGTGTTTAAAGAGTTTAAATTTTGAAGGCGTTTGCTATATATAACTGTCCTGCACTATTATAAAGAGTTTTCAGGAAGCTAAATCCTATCTCGTTTTTTTCTTTGTCTCTGTGTGTACACTTGAGATGCTTAGATTCATCCCATGTAAAATAAACTGTCCAGAGACACTGGGTCGCGCTGGGCAACCCTCCTTCCTGGAGGACTGCCACGTTCTTCATTGTATGACTGGTCTCAGCATTCCTCCTGGGCTCGCAGGATTGGTGGCAGTTTTACTCCTGATGACTTCACAGAGGGGCAAAAGGGTACCTAGACATCGGTGCCCCAGTGGACACATGCGGGTGGCCCTCCTCTTAGAGACTGCCCAATTCTGCGGGTTCCAGCTCTCTCTCTGCCTCCAGGGCTTCTGGCTCTTGTTACTTTTCTCATTCATTCATTCATTCATGACAGAGCATCTGTTACATGCAACACATCTGTGAATGAAGCCAAGAGCCCTGCTCTCAGGGAGCTTACAATCCAGCAGGAAGAGACAGTCAAAACAGTAGACCCAGCAACTGCATCACACTGTGTGGATGTGGAAGGTGTAACAGAGGTCTGACAGTTAAGTTTACGACCTCATCCTAGAAAAAGTCCTGCACACCTCATTGTTGGATATCACTAGGGTCACCTTTGAGGTACTGTCCTTGGGAAGCTATGCACCAATGCCAGTGCCTAGTCCACCCTTCAAAGGAATTTTGGAACTCTTTCTGGAATGAACATCAGAGCTCTCATTTATGGCACACAAAAACACAATAATGAATGCCACTCAGCAAGACACCGACCTATGTCAGCATGAAGACAGCTGTGAGATACTGATACGCCAAGGTCATGCAACATTACTGAGTTGTTTGTACAGTTCTGCCAACCTAAGTGCCCAGTGAAAAGTTCGCAAACTTAACTGTCATACCTCATGCAATGACACCTCTGATGGTCATTCCAGAAAAACAGTCTCAAAATTGCTTTGAAGGGTAGAATAGGTACTGGCATTGGTGCATAGCTTTGAAGGTTACCCCAGTGATATTCAGCAATGAGGTATGTAGCACTTTTTCTCGGACAAGTTCATGAACTTAAGTGTCAGACTTCATAAGTATTACAGAAAAAGAAAAACAGGGCAGGGTGAGGACAGATAAAATGCAGTATTAGACAGGGTGACAAGGTCCTTGAAGTGGCCTTGTGGAGAAGGTGACAATTGATAAAAGACAAGGGAGGGGGCTGGCAGGTCACTAGGGGAAAGTGGTCCAGGCAGAGAGGATGCCCAGGTGTCTGCCAGTGTGGCTGGAACAGGGAAGACAGAGCAGGTAAGCCTTTGGCTTTGACTGTGGGGAAATTTCCTGCCATCGTGCAAGGCCTGACATCATGGCTATGGGGTTCTCTGCACATCTGTAAGGAGACAAAACAGAAGCGGGGAGACCTGTTAGGAGGCAGAGTGTGATGGAGGTAGAAAGCGTGGCCAGGTTCCAGACCCACTTTGAAGGAAGGGCTGAGATTTCTTGACAGATTGGGGTATGGCATGACCAAGAGAAGGGCTGAGGATGATGCCAAGGATTTTTGGTCCAAGCCACTCAAAGGATGGAGACGTGGGAGGAGGGTTCTTCCACCTTTCCCGCTCCATGTAGGCTGGCTCCATCCAGGCCCTTTAGCTCATGCTGGGGAGGTAGAGGCATGGGGAAGGGTGGGGTCTAACAGTTCAGATGAGCAACTGGAGATTTTCTGCTTGGAGATGACGCCTTGCCGCCATAGCAGTCTTTGGGGTTCAGGAGAGTTTATGTCCCCAGCTCAGACTTAACAAATCCACTCACAATCCATCATCCCCAGCAACTTGTTTGGCTAAGGAGCATAAGCTCTCCCCTCTGATAGAAGATGTTTATACAGGTTTTCAAACAAACCTCCAGGTCATGACCCCTCCCTCTCAGCAGCATCAACACAGCTGCCTGTGGTCCCCTCTGTGGGGGCCCCTCCTGGGCACAGCAACCTGAAGAAAGTGGACTGCACCCCACTGCTCCTGACTGGGGTCCAGCTCTTCCTCCTCGCTCCTGCAAAGAACAGAACAGACCAACAGGCACTGGGCGCTGACTGCCTTCTGCCTTTCCTGGCGTCGTGGCAACCCCAGCTCCTCACCTAACATGTGGAGGTGCAGCCCTCCTGCCTAGTGCTCCTTGAGAAAGGAGACAGTGTAGGGAGGAGTGCCCTGAACTGAGAGCCTGCCAGCCCTGGGCTTTCCTCCCCGCCCCACCCCCACCCCCGGCCCTGCCATTTAGCAAGTCCTGGCCTTGTGCCTTTGGAACCTCCGTTTCTGCCCTGTAGTAGCATCAGCCCTACTTCACCTGCGAGCTTCATGTGGACAGGCCTGGCACCCAGGAGGCACTTTAGTCACCTCCCACTGGTGGCTCAGAGCAAAGGGCCAAGGCCTCTGGCCACACTCTCCTTCCATCCCCTAGGGACCAGGCTGCAAGCAGGCCCCACAGAGGATGTGATTCCAGTGTGTGGCCTGGGCCTGCCCCGTTTGTTTGTTTTTGTGTTTGGCACCTGTCCTGTTTCTAGACTGCTACCACAGAGTGGAAGTCTAGAAGAAGAGAAAGGATTCCTGTTCAGAAATAACATTCTTACAAACAGATGGAAAAAATTAGAAAATTCATACACACACTCCCACATCAAGGTTCCTGAGAAGCACTCTGACTGCAACAGGCAGAATGACCAAGAGGGGTGGGTCAGTGCCTCGGTGCCCAGACTTCTCAATGTCAGGTGGCTTTCTCCCCACAGGGGTTCCTCATTCTCCTGCTATTAGCCTGTTAGGAAACAGGGGACAAACCCTGGCTTAGTGACCAGGAGACCGTGGGGTTCCTCCTAATTCCCATCCTGGGACAAAGAGAAGACAGCTCTCCAAATATGGTGGCAATGCAGGGTCTGGGTGTGCTGTCCTCCAGCACTGTGCTCGCATAAGCCAAGAGCACTGGCCACCTTCCCTCATGTGACGAGAATTCAGGTGAGCATCACAGTTATGAGGGTGCGTCACGAGGTGCTTGTCCTCTGTCCTGCTACCAGGGCTGGCTGCAGGGACTCAGAGCCTTCCTTTGCACAGCTCTCTGCCTCTGGCCACCCATCCCTTTATCCACTCACTCACTTGGCTAAGGCATGTCATTGCCTCCCTGCTTGCACCAAACTCAGCTGTAGATGGACAACCTGTGGGCTCACGCTGAGCTGAGGACATTTCATGTGTGGCCCACAGTGTGGTTTTTAATTCTGAATTAATTAATTCATTACTTTAATGAACAAATGAATAAATGAAAGGTTGAAAGTGTGGCAATTACATCTAAAATGCTGATTTCTGGTTTTCTCTTGGATAATAAAAAATTTTTAAAAATCTCTCACATTGGGCCACAATCTCGTAAGATGGCATCCCCTGGCAGCGCTTCTGTGTGAGGCACAGGCCTCACTGCTCCCTGTTGTCCTTGCCCACCTGCCTCACTCAGTCCACCTACTTATCTTTTTGGGGGGTGGGGGACAGAGTCTCACTCAGTTGCCCTGGGTAGAGTGCTGTGGCATCATAGCTCACAGCAACCTCAAACTCCTGGCCTCAACTGATCCTCCTGCCTCAGCCTTCTAAGTAGCTGGAACTACAGGCTCCCACCACAATGCTCAGTTAATTTTTCTATTTTTAGTAGATACAAGGGGCTGGGGGTGGGAGGGTCTCTTGCTCAAGCTGGTCTCGAACTCCTGCCAATCTTGGTCTCAAACTCAGGCAATCTTGGTCTCCCAGAGTGCTGGGATTACAGGCATGAGCCACCAAGCCCAGCTGGCAATTTATCTTTTATTAATCCCTGTTATTGACCAATACTGAAATCTTACACATGTGGTCCACTAACTGTGTGCCAGGCTCTATACCAAGTGTGCTGCTCTCATTAGCTCATTTAGGCTCACTATGACAATGACACAGAATTATGCCCATTCATTTAAGAAATATCTCCCAAGGGCCCAAACCTGCCAGGCACTGTTTTTGGCAATGGAATGAGCCCAGAACAACACAGACAAAGTCCCTTCGTTCACAGAGCTTTCTTTCTAGTGAGGGCACTGTTTGGTGGTGCTCTCTTAGAAACAGCGTAGCCAGTATAGGCCTTGCTGAGAAGGGGACATTTCAGCGAAGATGTGACGAGGCAAGGGATCAGGAGAAGAGCATCTCAGGTGGAGAGAGGTTAATAGACATGCCTGAGGCCACGCAGCTAGTTAATGGCCCACCCTCGATTTGAACTACAGAGCCTGCATTCCTAAGCACAGTACTCTAGTGCAAGCGAGCTGCCAGCTCTGCCCTGAGACACTTGGAGTTAGACATGTAGAGAGCGTGGTCACCCTTGAATGGCTAGGGCCACGAGACCCTGGCTCTGAAGATTCTCACCTCAGCATCCTCCCAGGAGGCCAAGATGAGTTAGTTGATCACTTACCCTCGGGCTCTTTATTTTAATCTCAAGAAGGTTCTGGGTGCTCCCCCCAGTGCACACAAACAAGCTCCCCGGCCCCTCCTCCTTCCAAGAACTGGGAAGAGCTGGTCACAAATCCTCCTAATCTGCCAGCGTCTCAGTCGCCATCTCACACCAGCACTGAGCCCCGGCAGCCAGGGGACCACACACGTCCCACCCAGTGACTGCCCGGCTGCTGCCCACTCTCCCTCACCCATGGGGAACAGCAAAAGCGGGGCCCTGTCCAAGGAGATCCTGGAGGAGCTGCAGCTGAACACCAAGTTCACGGAGGAGGAGCTGTGTGCCTGGTACCAGTCCTTCCTAAAGGAGTGCCCCAGCGGCCGCATCACCCAGCAGGAGTTCCAGAGCATCTACGCCAAGTTCTTCCCGGACGCCGACCCCAAGGCCTATGCCCAGCACGTGTTCCGAAGCTTTGATGCCAACAGCGATGGCACCCTGGACTTCAAGGAGTATGTCATCGCCCTGCACATGACCACCGCAGGCAAGCCCAACCAGAAGCTGGAGTGGGCCTTCTCCCTCTATGACGTGGACGGCAACGGGGCCATCAGCAAGAATGAAGTGCTCGACATTGTCACGGTCAGTGTGCCCTGCCCCCCTCGCAGCGATGTTACTGCAAAAGGGGCAGAGCTGAGGGGCGGGATGTGGGATTCGGGCCACTGCCTCTGAGAGTGTGGTAGAGGGGCCCCAAGGTGCTGATGTTACTAGAGTGCTGGGCACTTGCCCACAACTGCACTTCCTTTGTAAAGAAGAATTTGGGTATTTCCTAAGACATAAGGCATAAGGACGCTGCGGTCAGCAATGGACCCCCTAAGATGATGATAGAGCTGAAAAAATCCTATTACCTGGTGACATCATAGCCACTGTAACCTCATTAGTGCAGTTATTTCCATTTTTAAAGAAATTCATGGTAGCGTGAGTGCACGGTGTTCATAAAGTCTCCAGTAGTGTGTGGTAGTTAGTGTGTGGTAGGTAGTGCCTGAGGCCCTCACGCTCACACTCACACTCACTCACACTCACTCACAGGCTCGCCCAGGCCAACATCCTGTCCTGTAAGTTCCACTGGTGCATGATCAGTGCCCTGGACAGGTGCACCACTTTTTATCTTTTGTACCCTACTGTTACTGAACCTTTTTTCTGTTTGGATATGTTTAGATACGCAAATACCTACCATTGTGTGACAGTTGCCTCCGGGATTCAGTACAGTGGCATACTGCAGACGTTTGCAGCCTAGGAGCAGGAGGCCACACCAGACAGCTAGGTGTGCACTAGACGGCTGTACCATGTAGGTTTGTGCTAATCACACTCCATGATGTTCACACAATGACAAAATCACCTACCAGTGCATTTCTCAGAAAGTGTCCCAGTTGTTAAGCAGCACATAATTGTATTTACATTTTTTAATCTTCCTCCCTCCCTCCCTCTCTCCCTCCTTCCCTTCCTTCCTTCCTTCCCTCTTTCTTTCCTTCCTCCCTTTTTCTCGTCCCTCTCCCCTCCTTTCCTTCCCCGTTCTCTTTTCCGTATTAAAATGCCCTTCAAAATTTTCAGAAGTACACAATCAAATTCTGTCACAGTTAATTTAAAACACACAATATGCCTCAAATAGAAAGGAGAAGGAGGTCAGAGTAAAAGGGAATGAACTCTGAGTTCTGGTCCTAATGATCTTCCTAACACCAGGTGGTTTCATCGCCCCATGAGGGTCTCATCTGTTGCACATTGTAGATTTACTCACTGTCTCCTGGGGCTCCTTCCGGCCTCCCTGACAAGCGTGCATACTCCACCTGCCTCTCATCATGTATTTTCTTCTGTCCACATCGTTCTGGTGTCAGATCATTTGTTAACAATATTTTAGGTTTCACAAAAATATAGTTTTTGTTTTTGTTTTGTTTTAGGGGTTTTTTGAGACAGTCTCTCACTCTGTTACCCAGCCTAGTGTGCTGTGGTGTTAGCATAGCTCACAGCAACCTCAAATTCCTGGGCTCAAGCAATCCTCTTGCCTCAGCCTCCCAAGTAGCTAGGACTACAGATGCTTGCCATCACTCCTGGCTAATTTTTTGTATTTTTGGTAGAGACAGGGTTCACTCCTATTCAGGCTGGTCTCAACTCCTGTTAGTAGGGAGAATGTTGCTAATGTTTCATATAATTTTTTGTGAATTCATAATCATGTTTTCATTTGCATCTCCCAACCTTATTAGGAGAAACTGTAAATAAAATGGCCAGGCATGCAGCTTGTGGTCAGTGGGCTCAACCACGGTGCTCAGTGTAGGGCTCTTGTTAATGGCAGGCATGTGTCACCCTCATCTTCATCTGGGCACAACCTGAGAGGGAGCTCCCCTGGATTGGCTATGATGTTTCTTGGGATAGAGACACATCTCCAGAGTGGCACAAGGATGCTGGGCCCAGCAGAATCCCACAAGTTGGTGCTCCTTGAGGAAAAAGAGGAGGAAGGGGAGGAGAAGGAAAGGGAGGAGGGAGGAAAGAGAGAAAGAAAGGGGAAAGAAGGAAGGAAAGAAGGAGAAGGAGAAGGAAAGGAGAGACAGATAAGGGAAGGGAAAAGGAGGGAGAAAACAGCAATGGCTGAGGCTGTACAAGGTGGCAGACGGGCTCTGCTATTCTCCAGATTACAAGGTCATGGGCAGAGCACCAGCCTGGGAGTCAGAGGGAGGGTTCTAGTCAGCTCTAATATCTACTAGGCCCTTCCTGGGGCTAGAGTGAGGATTCAATGATATTTGTGACCTTTCTCGAGGCTCTGAAGGTCTGTCCTTCCGTGTTGGAAGCCAGTCACTCCCATGTTTGGCTGACACACCTGCACATGATGCCCCTGGCTCAGGACAGACAGACAGACATCATGGGACCCTCCTACACTTACATCCTCCTCCAGGCTACTCAGAGCTGCTGGGTTTAATCTCCTTATTCCTTTTGTTACAGCACCAGGAGACTAAAAGGGAACTTCTCATAGCTATTGACCTTCCCTGACGGCTGAATTCAGAGGCATCACCCATCTGGCCTGTTCCCAGGTGTCTCCCCAGTGGCAGAAGGCTCTAGCCAGAGCCAGTATCCCTCAAACTCCTGCCCAACACACCTGTGTACACACTGGGGCTGCCACACCTAAGAGATCCTTGAGTGTCCTCTCTGTGCCTGGCTGGCCCTGGCATTCCTGAGCCAGCAGAATCCTAGGAACTTTGAACTTGACACAAGGGTGCATGGAGCCACCTTGCCCCTTTCCCTGATCTCATAGGTCTAGAGGCACCTCCTGCCTGGCACACTTGGTTCCTTTACTAGAGAGAGGGAGAGGGAGGCAAGACGGATCCTTGAGCCCAAAGCTAAGCCTTTGTCGGGGCTTTCTCCAGGAAGTTCTTATTGACACCTGCCAGTCCTTCTCAGCCTCAACTAGAACCCTTCTGGTGTCACAGCCACTGGGAGGTGAGCAGTCTGTGACTTAAAACAAAAATGCTGGCTAAAGAACCAAATTGCCAGGGTTAGAATTCATCCTCTTCTGCTTCCAGCTGGAGACTTTCAGCAAGTTTGTAGAACATATAGGGACCAATAAACAATTTCATAAGATTGTCATGGTTAGGTGTAAAATTGTTTAGAAAAGTGACAGATACTAAGAGTTAATCAAATGTTAGCCATTATTGCAACACACCAGCCCTGCTGAGCAACTGAGGTACCATATGGACCCAAGAGAAGATGTTCACTCCTCCAAAACCTCTGGGCAGTAGAGTCTGAAGTTGTGATTCCCAAACTCCAAACTTGAGGCTGCCGTGGGATTTTCATTGGGAAACTTGTTAATTTTTATTTTCTTATTTATGTCAACATGGTCAGAAAATTTGAAGTGCAGAAAGGCACAAAGTAAGAAGTGAAAGCCTTCTTCACCCCTTCTAGACGTTCCTTGTCCCTCATGGGGATCTCAAAAATACAGATGCCCAGGCCCCACCAGTAAGAATTCTGATTCAGCAGATCAAGGAGTGGCCTGGGCATCTGTAGTATAACCATTACCTTGGGAGATGCCTCATCTTCTGGGCTGTTTGGCCTCTGAGAGAGGGACCTCTGTGTTAGAAGTGACCTCAGGTCCCCAATGTGTTTTCCACATAGTTGTACCAACTTACATTCCAACCAATAGTGTTCCAAGGTTCTCTTTTCACCACGCCCTTGCCAGCACCTGTTATCTCTTGACTTTTTGACAGCAGCCGTCCCAAAAGGTGTGAGGTGATATCTGATTATAGCTTTGATGTGTATTTGCCCGATGACCAGTGGTGGAGAGCACATTTTCATATACCTGTTGGCCATTGGTATGGCTTCTTTGCAGAAATATCTCTTCAGGGTCTTTGCTCAGTTTTTCAACTGAGTTATTTGTTGTTTTGCTATTAAGTTGTGTGTGTGGGGGGTCCTTATATATTTTTTATATTAACTATTGATACAGGGTTTGCAAATGTTTTCTTCCATTCCATAAGTTGCCTTTTCATTTTTTTGGTTGTTTTCTTAGCTTTGCAGAAGCTTTTTAGTTTGATGTAATCCCATTTGTTTATTTTTACTTTTGTTGCCTGTGCTTTGGGTATTATATCCAAAAAGTTATTGTCAAAACCAAAGTCAAAAGCTTTTTGTCTTATGATTTTTCCTGGAGTTTTACAGTTTCAGGTCCTAGATATTTTATGCATGTTGAGTAGATTATCATGTATGGCATAGGATGTGGGTTTTCCCAGGGTTCCCAGCCCTTGCCGTTCCTTCTAACAAGTTCCTTCTCCTGATTTGATATAGGCTATTTTCAAAATGATCAATCCTGAGGATGTGAAGCATCTCCCAGACGATGAAAACACACCAGAAAAGCGAGCTGAGAAGATCTGGAATTTCTTTGGAAAGAAAGAGGATGGTGAATTCCTTTTCCTTCACTGCCTTTGATTTGACAGTCTCAGGCTGTTTCCTGGCGGCTCCAACGCAATTTATTCTTCTGAGTCACAGTGGCCAGGCAGGATAGGGACACTCATCCCACCTTGCAATTCCAGGGCTATCTGCAGGGTCTGACAGGGGGATTGTCTAACGGTCCTCTCCCCTACCAGTTCCTCCACCCCCCTGGAGTGACACTGGCTTATAAAACTCCTGTGCTGCCTGGTATTCTTGGGATAGGGATGGGGTTGAGAGGAAAGCTCTAAATTATGGAGCCTTTTGAAGAAAAACATCTTTTGTTTTTCTATATTTAGGAATAGCAAATATTGGGAACATAGCCTAATGTTTGCTATTCCTAATAGCAAATATAGCAAATATGCTACATTTAAGGAATAGCAAAAATTAAAGTCATTTAGCTCCTTAGCAGTTTACATGCAGATGGGCAGGTTAGAGGAATGACAGACAAATCAAGGGTTTTTTTTAAGTGGAGAGTGGATTCTTTGAACATTTTGGTTTATTTGGTTTTAAAATGCCGTCTGCACAGTCAGCATAAGGGCAAACTTTGGCTCAGCCTAGCTTTGATTTAACATCAAGCCTCAAGTAAGCGGAATCTAAATTTATGTGGTTTTATACTAGGAAGTTCATCTGGGTCCCCTAAGGAGCACTATCTAGATTGCTGGAGGTTTAAGGGGAGAAAAGGCTGATGTGGGAAAGCAGGAAGGGTCTGGGGAGGCTGGGAAAGGAACTGCTGTGCAGCAAGAGAGGGAAGGGGCGGAGGTTGGGCAAGGAACATCTCAGAAGCAGTGTGTTCTGAGAAAGCCTGGGCAGATGCAGTGGGGTGCCCTCAGTGGTCTTCGTGCCCTTGCCTTGCTCAGTCCATGGCTAGAAACAGCCCATGAAAAGCGTGTCCTTGCATTTAACAGTGATAGGGCAGCTGGAGCCATGGGCCCATGATGCACACAGCCAGGACGGGAAGGACATGGCAGAAGAGTTTTGTCGGGCCGGGGGCTACAAACTCTGGGGCTGGAATGACAAAAATGAGTCCTGCAGACATAGTCCCCTAAGTGATGGAGCCTGGCTAATAACAGAGGAGGCATGTTTGGTCACATGGCTTCTGGCACATTCCACCTGGGTAGATTTGTGCCACATCATTTGATGTTTTTCTTTTTTTTAAAGAGAAGCTAGTCAGTGAGATTTTAAAAATCTAAAGTGTCCATTGATAAAAGACAACACGGCTCAAACACACCTGAGGGACCAGTATTGACCCTATAGGTGACCTCTGGGGCAGTTTCTTTGGCAGGCCCAGGCTGGGTTTGAACCTGCCACCTCCGGTGTATGTGGCTGGCACCCTAGATGCTGAGCTACAGGTGCAAATGTTTTCTTCCATTCCATAAGTTGCCTTTTCATTTTGTTGATTGTTTTCTTAGCTTTGCAGAAGCTTTTTAGTTTGATATAATCCCATTTGTTTATTTTTACTTTTGTTGCCTGTGCTTTGGGTATTATATCCAAAAAGTTATTGTCAACTGCCCCTTGGGGGCAGTTTCTTACCAGAGTTCAAGAAGAAAAACCTGAGCAGGACACAGAATAAGGGCAGAGAGACATGACCCTGTCCCTACTAATGTGCTATTAAATGATGAAGTCAAGGAGGCAGGAAGGTCACAGGGGTGGAGACCCTGGGAGGCGATGAGGGGCGCAGGGCACAGGATGTAAGGAGGTGCTCAACCGCAGATGCCAACATCATCCCCACATGACCCGAAAGTGAGCACCCCCGGAAGCCCATGCCTGGCGCCTCGTGCACCTCACCACATCCCGCCCTGACGGGCACCTCTCCTCTGAGTACCTTCTCCTCATGTGCACAGGTCCTGGCTGCTCAAGGTGCCTACCTTTGCCACCTCACCCCTCTGCCTCTCTGACCTCCACAGCCTCTACCCATGTTCTGCTACTTTGCTAATCTGAAGACTAACCCAAGTGACATCCCAGAAAGCGGATAGTGTCAGAGGGCTGACGCGTTCCTCCTGCGGGTGACGTGTGTGATGTGTGTGCCCACGTGACCCATCTGCAGACAAGTGCCTTACCACACAGTCGGGCTCTGATGATAGGAGTTGCAAGCTCTGTGTGAGGCTGGTGAGACAGCTGGGACTTTAAAACCTAAATTTCACCACCCAGCCTTGTGGAGGGAGCCAGCCGGGATCCTAACACAGAAGGGATTAAGGATGCCCCAAAGACCCGACATATAAGCCAGTGGTAATCCAATTAAACTCAGCAGAGCTTTGCTGAGTACCTACTGTGTGCTGGACACTACATGCATGCAGCCATGAGCAGAAAGGAGCAGCTGAAGTTGTGTCTATGTGTGACTGTCCTCACCAGATCAAAAGTGTCCTGGAGAGGGACTTTATCTCTGTTCCCTGCAACAGCCTCAGCCCCAAGCACAGTGGCATCTGTGCTCAGGAACATGGACTTAACTAGGTTGATCTGAACACAGTGGGACAGTTGGTAGAAACACTGGGAAACTGAGCCTGGTTGGATGCAGGCTTTCTCTCAGTACTGACCCTAAGGAGGCAAATCCGATCTGGGGATGCAGAGACAGATACACAGGAAAGAGTCCTGTGGGGAAAGCTGTCAGCCAGGAATGCTCTCCGTGTTGTGCAAGGGCACAAGGGACCTCTCTGCAAGCCGGGTTCTCCCTTAAATCCCACTTGACCTCTCACCTACCTTTCCCTCCCTACTCCCTGGGGGACAGGGTCACCCCCTGCTTCTCTTGTCATTTTGCTTTGCTCAGTCCCTCACAAGTTCCTCTAGATTTTGAGGCTTAAGACATGAGTGAATATTGAATATATAATAATCATGAATGTAATAGTTACAATCATTATTTAAATATTTAATAACCAGCAAGACACAATGAAGATGTTTGTTCTGGGGGTCGGGGTGGGGCTGGATGTCAGCCTCACGGCAGCTTGATTGGCTATCGGTCCTGACTGTTGCCTGTCTTTTCCCCAATGCATAGATAAGCTTACAGAGGAAGAATTCATCGAGGGGACCCTGGCCAATAAGGAGATTCTGCGACTGATCCAGTTTGAGCCTCAAAAAGTGAAGGAAAGATTAAAGGAAAAGAAACCCTGATGCCAACAGCTCAGCTTTGCCCACCTGTGACCGCATATTCGACACACACTCACATGTACACACACGCACACGTGCACGCGCACACACACATTCACTCACACACCAGGGCCAGGGCAGAGGCCTGCAAACCCTGCACAGCTCCCTGCCAAACTGAGGCATGTTTAGCAGTCCCATCTTTAGTGTCCCTTCTGTCATACCCCGCCAGCCTCCCCTCCCTCTGCCCTGCCAGCCCATGCATGGCCCTGTGATAATCCCAGGATTAGGTCATAGGAGCCCTAAATGTCACCCCCGTGTAAGCTCCTTTGTGGAGTGCTGGGTAAGCAGGTTGCAATAAATGCAAGAGGAGCTGGGCACGCAGCTGGCTGGTCATTCTTCACAGGGAGAAGCAAATGAGTCACGTCAGCTAAAAGACAAGGCTGTGTTGCAGGGGCAGGGCTAGGCTGTGCTGAGCCTGTGGTACCGAAGGAGATGGACACGGTCCTTCTCTCACAGAGCTCACTGTTCGGAGGAAATAAAGGACCTGGAAGGAGACATGGGCGGTGGCCGATGTCACCATGGGAACATGGAGAGCATGTGGGAAGACGTAATAGGAGGGGTCGTCTTGTCGGGGAGGATAGGGATGACTTTTCTGATGAAGGGACATTTAAATTCAGGCCCAATGAACTGTGGCAGGGGTCTCATGTCTCAGGCAGAGGGCGACCAACACAGCCCAGGAACAGGAATGAGCATCTCATGTGCCAGAGATGTAGAAGCCCAGGGCAGCTGGAGGGGAGTGGAAGTGGGGGTGGACGCACGAGGACTTCCCGAGGCCCATGCTGAACTCTTGGGGCTTCTCTGTGGGGGTCATGGAGCCACTGTGAAATTGGAAGTGGGGAGAGGTGATGTTTGCCAGAAAAACTCCTTGTAGCCTGAAGTAAGTCGGGACGAGGCTGGGAATAGGGGAGCTGACCAGCCACCGGGTGGTTTGGGTGCTGCTAGGAGGCAGAACTCACCCTACTGGCTACAGGGCCAGGAGCAGCGGTGGCAGGGGTGGCAGCAGGGCTGTGGCTCCGGCGTCGAGGGAATAGCAGTGCCCTCTGATTACAGCAGACAGCAATGAGTTCAGCTGCCATATGGCCAATGAAGAAAACAACCATTGATGCCCCTGAGGCCCCAAAATTTAGAGAGAGGAAAAGTGAGTCTGGAGACAGGAAGCTTGCATAGGGTCAGCTGATGAGCAGAGGCCAGGTCAGGGCCACCCACTGGCCCCACTGTCTCCTCATAGCTCCAGGGCCTGGGAAAGCCAGGAATTCCAGCCTTACCTTCCTAGATGAGGTCAGAAAAATACATGGGTGTGCTGGGCTCCTGATGACCTCCTGCAGCCTCCTGAGGTGGGAATTCTCTATTTTCTTTTTTTTTGAGACAGAGCCTCAAGCTATCCCCCTGGGTAGAGTGCCGTGACTTCACAGCTCACAGCAACCTCCAACTCCTGGGCTCAAGCGAGTCTCCTGTCTCAGCCTCCCAAGTAGCTGGGACCACAGGCGCCCGCCACAATGCCCGGCTATTTTTTGGTTGCAGCCATCATTGTTGTTTGGCCGGTCCGGGCTGGATTCAAACCCACCACCTTAGGTGTATGTGGCTGGCGCCTTAGCCACTTGAGCCACAGGCGCCGAGCCCTGAGGTGGGAATTCTCCATGGCTGGTGTGGCTGGTGACCCCCCTCACCCTCCATGCCAATGGCACCATCATCACCACCAGTAAGCACTCCTGTCTGAGGAGTGCGAACATGAGAATAAACACGTACAGAGCATTTCCTACAAGGCACGAGTCACGCTGGACTCAAACACGTACAGAGCATTTCCTACAAGGCACAAGCCACGCTGGACTCCGTGTGGCAGTCAGCGTAACCTAATTCTCTGTATCCTCAGTGAATCCCAAACAATTAAAAAAAAAAATGATGCACTACCATGTACCATTTCCAGGTTCCTTAAATTTTGTGGGGTTTTTGGGAGACAGTCTCACTTTGTCACCCTTGATTGAGTGCCCTAGCATCACAGCTCACAGCAACCTCCGACTCTTGGGCTTAAGTGACTCTCTTGCCTCAGCCTTCCAAGTAGCTGGGACTATAGGCACCCGCCACAACGTCCGGCTACTTTCTGTTGCAGTTGTCGTTGTTTAGCTGGCTCGGGCTGGGTTCAAACCCACCAGCCTCAGTGTGGGTGGCTGATGCCATAACCACGGTGCTACAGGCACCAAGCCCACGTTCCTTAAAATGTTAAACATAAAATCACCCATGATTCAGCAGCTCCACTTCCAGGTATACTCAACCATTTGAAAGTAGGAACTCAAACATATTTACACACCTTTATCCATAGCAGCATTATTCCCAATACCCAAAAGGTAGAAGCAACTCCATGTTGGGGAATGGGTGAATGGACACAGGAATGTGTAATATCTGTGCAGTGGAATACTATTCCTCCTCCAAAAAGAAGGACATTCTGATACTCGTTACGCAAGTGATGATCCTCCAGGACTTCGCACTAGGTTAAATAAAGCCGATCACAAGAGGACAAACACTGTGTGATTCCACGGAGAGGATGTATCTAAAATAGGCAAATTCAGAAAGAGAATTCTCAAAGTAGAACAGAGTTTACCCAGAGGCTGAGGGGAGGGAGGGATGGGAAACGGTCGTTTCCTGGGTATAGAGTTGCAGTTCAGGAAGACAGAAAGAGTTCTGGAGATGGGTAACAGGTGAATGTACTTCATACAACTGATGTGCACACTTACAAATGGCTACAACAAAATTCCAATATTGTGACCTGGATGTTTGTACCCTCATGTTAACCTGAAATAAATTTTTTTTAAATGGCTAAAACAGTAAATTTTATGAAATTATATATATTTTGCCACAAAATTTTTTTAAAAACTCGGAAACTTTTAGAAATCCTAGCTCCCAGGCCCATTTGGGCCAATTCAATCAGAATCTCTGGAGACAGAGGCAGCCCTTAGTCTATTCTAAAGCTTCCCGGGGGCTTGTAATGATAGGATTGAGAGCCACTTGTCTTCAAAGCAGCAGGCAAGCTGAGTGGCCAAGGGAGGGGCCTAGAACAGGAGGGTCAGTCTCCTTCCATGGTTCACCACTTAACTCTGCTCTGGCCCCTCCCCCTCTGCCCACTCCTCTTAGCTTCTGAGACCAAATTTAAGACAAAAGACCACCCAGGATCCTCGTTAGATGCTACACCCCCTTTCCCATTTCTGGCCAGGTCTAAGCACGGGATTCTCCAGGGGTAGGAGAGAACTTCAGCTCCAGTAAGAAACAAATGCAAAATAATTGACAAAATGCAAATCAAATTAAATAAACTTTTAATCATTAGCAGGACAAGAACAAGCAGTGTGTGGGACGAGATGTGGAGGACGTATTTTAAAAATGCTTTGGAGAAAAAAACCCCAAACATGTTTCACTAATAGGGGTGAGATCCTGGATCACTTATCCCAGCAGCATCGGATGCTCCTAGAGACATTTCTGTGCCATCTCATTTGAAGAACGTGTCGGTGAGCGGCACTGCGCTGGGTCTGTGCCAGGAATACAGGTGGCCCCAGCTTTCCAGGAACCCTCAGGCTGATGAGCCAAGGCAGGGGCATTTGCAGAAAAGGGAAAATTAGAAAGACATAGTATTTTTTTTTTTTT